CAAGCAGGCCCTTCCTGGCTAGCGTCATGCGCATATTGTACTCCCAGTGGAAGTAGTTCCCACTCCCTAGGAGGACTTCGGCGCGCTTGGTCGTCGTCATGTTTTGGAACGTTCCGGTAGAGTTGAGCGTTGCAGCTGTTAGCCTGTTGTTGTTGTTAAAGGCAAATGCCGAAGTGAGTAGATTAAATCTGTCCTCTAACCTTCAGTGCTCCTGGCCATCCACCAGATTAACCGGTTTGGGACCGGTCCAGTTTGGAACGTCACGCTGGATAGCCGAACCGTGCAGAGTCGGTGCATATCAACAAAGACTTTTACGAATATTTCTTTACAAAAAATCACGAAAAGCACTAAAAGCTTGGGTGCACTTGGGTAAAACGTTTAAGGTGCCATTATACAATGTAATGTTCCTTGTACACAGACTTTACGGCCAATAGAATCTTCACTATGGTGGTTTCAGCTTTGATGTTAAAAGTTCAAGTACATGTAAGGTAAACATATTGTGTATATGCTGGATTACTGTACAGGTACATGAACATTTAATGATACATGTAGTAAACATCTAAGTCGTTTACTAAAGCAGCTCGACGTAGCGATACGCACCTTCATTGAACGTTTAAAAACCTAAATAGTATCTAGATTCAGTATCTATTTTAATACAGTGTTAAAATAATGTAGTCCATTATTTAGTTAAACTAATCATAGCTTGTTTTCAGCACCGCATGACAGGCTAAGTATTTAGTTTAGAAAACCTCTATGTCAGCTTAACCAGCAATCGAGCTTCCATGTTAGACTTTTAGTAGAAAAATAGCAGCATTAGAGATAAACTGTGTGGCAGCTACACTTAGAAAGAAGGTGAAACAGGTCGATGAAGGGTAAATTTGCACTGAAAAGCCGTTCCTCGTAGTTGAAAGATAGATTGCTGTTGCTTCGTGCTCTACCGTTTTTAGCTGAAGATTCTTATCTGATAGTGGTGAAACCCGTACTTTGTGGGGGCCAAACGCAACGGAGGGGTACTTAAAACTAGAGGATTGGTAGCGCTTGGAGTTAAATGTTCAATTCGGTAGAGTAAAACAAATTTAAGGGAAGGTCAATCCTGTACCGGTAGCGAAAAGAGAAAAAACGTGGCGTGAATTTGCAATTAAAGGGCCAAATATTATATGTTAAGAGAGCCAAACATCAAGGGAACTGAAGATCTGTCTTTTCAAATCTCCCCCATTCATGTTACGCGAGCAAAGCGTTCGGCTTCTTGTCGAGATCGCTGAGCTAATTCAGCATGTTTTTGAAACTAAACGCCTCCTCCAATCCTGATTGAATGAATGCCCTTGTAAAAGTGATCGACGATTGTACTGATTGAGCGAAACTAGTCTGGACTATTAGACCAAAGCTTCATAGTTTGATACATGTGATCATCTGATGCAAACTGTTGTTTATATAAGCTGTCTAACTAAAGATGTAAATCTTTGCGTGATGTATGACATACATTTTTCTTGGCGAATTAAAGCCTTTTGGGCTGTACCTGAAGCACTACCAGGATAAGTATATTTTCAGATCTGGCGGAACACGAAGCTGTCACTGGAAGACTCTGAAGTTGACACCAAATTAACCTAAAACTTGTAAGTTAGTAGAAGCTAAAACAAGGAATTGAATCCATGAAGCTGATACATAGCTCACCCAGTCCAACCAGGATTTATCGGTAGCCATTTTATAAAATAGAGCTGCACCTGTGTTAAAATCATGAGTTTTAGCAGACGATTTTATGGATTATACCCCTGTTACTTCAAAACCTACAGAAAATCGTAAGAGTAAACACCTTAGTGTTTACTCTTTTTTCTTCGGCTCGAGCCGTCTTGGCCACACGTAGCAGTGAAATATTCAAATCTTCCCAGTGCTTGATTGGATGGTCAAGTACCGCCTTACCCCTCTCATAACCGACGTTTTCTCATTGCCAACAGACCATATTAGCCAATAGAAACCTGAATGGATTTCATATGTTGTGACCTTCTGCCCGCACTAAAAGGCTATACCGACACCGCTAAAACGGAGCTGACACCCACTTGCGATTCTGCTTCGTGTCGACATCGAACATCTTGTATTTCCAGGTCTGTTATGGGGCGTCAGTGCACCACTGGTACGCGTAAGAAACCAAAAACTTACAGCCGCACGTCATTTACCTACAAGCATAAGCTGGAAGTGCTTGATTTTCTGGACGTAATTCATGACACCGGTAAAGCGATAAAGAAGTTTTATCCATCTGTGACTGACCAAGGAGAACGGAGAAAAAAGATGCAGCCTATATCGGACTGGAAGTCGTCCCGGGTCCTCATCGAACTGATGTGCTTACAAGGAAAGGGTCACTACGAAAGGGCGCGCAAACTTGGCGACGGTACCATTCTCCCGGACGGTGCAGAAGCGTACATCTCGATGTGGATCAGCTCGTTAAGGCGAGAAGGTTGTCCAGTCTCGGAGCAGATGCTGCATTTTAAAGCCCGTGAGGTAGCCGCTGACCGAGGCATTCCGTCGTCATTGTTTAGCGCATCTCATTCTTGGCGGAGGGGTTTTAGGCGGCGCAACCGGTTCTCCATTCGCGCCAAAACCCGCCAGGGTCAAACGACACCCGAAGATGCACAGTTGAAGGCGGAAGAGTTCAAGAAAGAGGTGAAAGAGCTGATTCTCGAGCACAACATCACTACAGTGCTGAATGCGGATCAGACCGCGGTGTTCTACGAGTACTTGCCTACAAAAACGATCAATGCAAAAGGAGAGAGAACGATCTGGATTAAATGTGCTGGCAAGGATAAGGAGAGAGCGACAGTTATGCTACTGGCAGACTGGCACGGCAACAAATACCCCCCAATAATCATCTTCAAAGCGAAGGATGCAAAAGATAAGTGCAGACAACGCAGCAACGATGAACCAGCACGGCTTTGGGCCAGTTTTGTGGCCCAAAATGGATGCCCTTCAGACGCAGCATCAGTGTTAGATCTATAACAGCTCAACTGCTTAATGGAATTCGCAGATCTCTCTCCGTTTCTTGGAGTATCACTTCGCAAACCGCCTCAACATAGAAGACAAGATGCTGCTACTCTGGGATGACTTCTCGGGGCACTGGACCCCAGAAGGCGTAGAGTATGCAGCATCTATCAACATTGTGCTGCATGAAGTACCACCACGACACACTTACGTCTGCCAGCCAGCGGACGTAGCGTGGAATCACCCGTTTAAGAGTAAATTGCGCAAGTTTTGGGTCGACCGACTACGACAGCAAGTCGCAGATCATCACGCTCTTGAAGTGAGTCGGGCAGCGCAGCGTCTTGGGATCATGGCCCGTACTAATACTGCGTTTCGATTGAAGATGCAAGACGTAGCTCGAGAACGCGTCGCAGACATTCAGCGGGAGGCACCGAGTTCTGTCTTTCGGGTTACTCCTCCTGATAAAAATGATATTGTGTCGTGGGTCTGTACAAGCTGGAACAGCTTGACGGCATCTATCATTGTAGGGGGGGTTGCTCGAGTTGGTATTCTTGGTGATACACGGGTACATGAAGACGAAGGTGATGAAGCTAATGATGAGATTCCTGCTCTGGTCAAGGAGCTGAAGAAATTGGGGGTGGTGCGAGAAGAGCAGGACCTTACGCGCGATGAAGATGAGGACTAGATAAACCTTTGTGTGGTCGCATCTAAATCGTAGTAAGATTTCCTTACCCCATTACACATACTTGCTATCACCACAATCCCCCATGTCGGCAATGACAGGGGCGCTGCGGTATTGTGCATTTCAAGAATTTTGTCCTTTTCACGTCTGATGCTCGATTTATAATAAATAGAGGTCGTTTTATTAAATCGGGGTCTATAAAAGGTACAAATCGATCTAGCTAATAGACTGGCTGATAAATCGAGCTACGGCGCGATCAACCACCAAATCCACATCGATATCCTGTAAATCGACCCTTTTTGCCGTTTTAAAATGGTAATTCGATCACAGATAAAACAAATCGATACCTGCTCTTCCCATCACATTTTTACGCGTGGTTTTATGCTCATAAAACGGATGGAAATTCCATCTGCAAAGCACAATAATTGCTCTGGCGTTAAAACGGAGCTCCTTGTCACATTTCATTTTACGCCGAAAACATGTCAAACAATAAGGACGTGTGTGCTTTTGTTGTTAGCTTCTGTTCGAAAGCACAAGGGCTTGTGCATTTACGTATACTTGGGGATCGATCCGTTCTTTATAGCAGTGCCGAACAGTTCTTCCTGCTCTAGCACAATTATTGACCCTCACCTTATTATGGCTGCTTTATCCTGTTTCCCGCAGAACTGTAATTATCATCGCAGGTGCTGCTACACAAAACACGTAGGGCCTTCGATTGCTCTGAAAAGCGTAAACCTTTCTGTGCGGAACGAAGCAACGATCTGCTGTGGTCCATCGTAGGTTACAATCAAACCATACAGAAGGAAGAGCTACTTCGAAGTACTCATTTAAAAAGAACTCCCTAAACTTGTACATGTATTAAAATATAACTTGCTCATCCTTCAGGCTTTGATTTTTGTAGTGCAGATACTAGCGAGTGTTATTATCGACAAAAGACATTAGAAGACCTCGTCGTAGGATACCGTGGCAAATACTTCGAAGTACAAGACGACTTCAATTGAGGTCAGCAGATGCAAGAGTAAAGCGATTCAGAGGATTCCATCGTCGCGTTGTATCCTCATGGCTTGAGACAGACTGGTAGTCCTATCACAAGATATATTACGTCCTAAACAGGTGTGTGAGCCCCCTTAGACTCTAAGATAGAGAGGATTCGTATCGGCTGCGGTCCATACAGTTTACGATCCTCGTAATCGTAGATTGCCTTTCGCGCCTCGACGCCTCGATCTAATCTTACGGGTTAGCATAAGTGGTTGCACGGTCATCCGGCATTCTTGCGATTTTTTTCTTCTCTCACTCTGCATCTTGCACTGCCAAGCAAACACCACGTCACCTACTTCGTCGATCCAGCATGAAAGTGCTACAGTTGATCGCTTTGACTGCGCTTGTGTCAAGCTGCGTTGCTGCGTCGGCCGCCGACCCAAGCGGTCTTGCGAAGACCAAATCGGACGTTGATGTCCTCTCTCGCGTGCTGGCTGACCACGAGCAGACCAACCGATCTCTACGTCGGTACGACCTCGAAGGACTGGATTCCGTCAATTCTAATAGAGAAGAGAGAAATTCAATCACGATGGTTGACGATGTTGTAACCAAGGCTAGTGGCCTGGTCGACGACGTCATGGGGAAGACAGACGACGTAGTGGGGAAGGCAGGGCAGTTTGGAAAGGTGCCCACTAAACTGAGAGATGTCGCCACGAAGAACATGGACAAGATTAAAGAAATGACAGCACGCTCGGCTCTAGTGAAAACACTCACTGGGAGATACGACTACGCTGAAAAGCTGAGTCTGTCGGCGCTGAAGCAACTGGATGATATCGAAAAAGTGAGAGCGGTGGATATCAAAAAAGGTATCAAGGGCTCTAAGGAAACGCCCGACGGCATGCGAAGGGTAATTGAGCCTTTTGAAGGCATGAAAGTTGCCCCCAAGAAGTTCCTAGAGTCCCACGTGGGCCGCGCAGACCAACGTTATGGCAAGGACGGCAGCCGGCTGCTGTCAGCTAACGTGGTAATGCGTTTAAACGACAAAGGCGAGAAGCAGATTCTTCTCATTTCGAGCTCAAACCCGAAGAAAGGGGATTTCTTACTCCCCAAGGGAGGCTGGGACAAGGGTGAGGATGTTAAGAAGGCAGCGCTGCGTGAGGTTATCGAAGAAGGAGGAGTACGTTGACTTCTCTTGTCCTGTTCCCATTTAATCAGTGTATTAACTAACGTTAACTTGTGACTCTGCAGGTGGGTGGCCAACTTGCACACGGTCTAGGCAAGCTCAGGTTCGCGGAGGGCAATAACAAATACACGTACCAGGCGTTCCTAATGAGAAGCAGCACAGTCTATGACGATTGGGCCGAGAGCATTCGCTATCGCTTATGGGTACGTTTTGTTGAGGAGAATTATTTGGATAGCTGTCAACAACTAAGCGTGAACTTGTCGTAATTAGGTTTCGATGGACGACGCGATGGAAATACTTAAAGGACGCCCCAAGATGGCCGAAGTCGTCAATAGAGCGAAGCGCGTTGATGATAGAATCGTGGCCGGAGAATTGCCCGCGCTGAATCCCAAACTTTCCCAAGTCAAGCTTGACTTGAGCTAAGAAGTACCTATACCTCTTATAGTCATAAGCAGGAATAACTTTGTCAACATCAAAAGATATCAACTGCATCGAGGAAAGCTTTCTTGACATTTTTATCATTTGTTTTGTCGGATTTCGAATTTTCAAGTATCATTTGACACTGCTCTCGCAGACTAAATGCCTCGTGTAATAATACAGGTCAAATGTGTCAAACACAGAATCAAGTCAAAATACAAGTTGTTCGTTTCGGTACGATTCAGGAAAGGCGCACCTAAAATTTGCGCAGCCAAGAAAAAGGTACATGTACAACGCCAACTCAAATTCCTAAGTTGGGCGCTAGACGGTAAAACTCAATAATTTACAAAAAAAATTATGCTCGATTTCGTTAAAGCCTTTGCTCGGCAAAATGAAAAGGTTTCCTCGATGGTGTCGCGGACTGTAAAGCCATTTCACGAATGCAAGACCAGACAATAGGCTGACCGCATGAATTTACAATTGTACCGACGTAGAGCGGTGCAGTTGGCAGGGATATATGAAGTCGTTAGTTTTTATATAAGTGACCTCATTTCAAAAACAAAACATTTCACGATTGCTGCAATAGATACCCTTCAGAAGAATTTGTCTTACTACCAGTAGAAGTATAAACTCAAATGAATAGTTTTACTGTGCTTTATACTAAAAATGCATCAAAACTGTATCAGAACATTACATCACTGAAACCATTATGTACGTAGCACTAGACACCCCAACTAAACAACAAAACATTCAACTGGATCAGCTGGGGTAATGTTTACTTTTTAGCACTAATTATGAGATTTGCTGGTAATCTTACACGTAAACGGCGTTCGCTTATTAATCGGACAGGGTATTAGCATTTACCTGCAAGCCACAGGCATGCTCGCCTCTCTCGCTTCGGTACTCTACGCGCTTCGCGCGAGAGCCAATTTGGCATTTTTTCTTCGTTGTGGCGTTTATTCATAATGCTAAACTTCCGAAGATGCAAGTGCTCGATTTGGTGGCACTGGTTATGAACTGCTTACGGGACGCAAAGTCTAAGCATCTCTGGGTCTGATGAACCAGGCAGGAGAATGTGTATAAGAGCGGATTGATTTTCTATCTCGACTCTGCGGAAGTCCTCAAAAAGTTTCCTCGTAAATGCTTGTAAATAAAAGTTAGAAATGTTTAGGTTTTTCTATCTCTACGCTGTGCATAAAATTTAGACCGGTACTGAAGGATACAGTGCTGCGGAAGGAAGTGTACCGGTAGGTTACCGGTATAGTCAGCCTTACCAATAGATGATGAGACGGGAAAAGTGACTAGGCTATCTCCACTCGTAGTTGCTATCCGTATTGCAATCTGTCGAATCTGATTGGCTGTTGCTATTCGCTGCGATAATAGAAATAAGGATTTTTCACCAACTCCAGTCGTCTGGAGGCTATTCTATCGGCTAGGGAGGGCAGTGACGAAGAGTTTCTCCTCGCTGATGACGATGATCTTTTAGCTGCTGTTTTCGCTGTAGTCTGCGCGGAGCCAACAGAACAAGCGACGGCTCCTTCACTTCGTCAAGGCTCAAACAAAAGAAGAATCAAGCGCCTCGCGCGCGACATTGCGTCTGGACACGCAGCCCTGGTGCGAGATTATCTTGGGGACAACCCTCTACCAGGTAGCAGGTAGCTGGCCAGCTGAAATGACTTTGTTGTCGTGGTCCTCCCCGACGCCTTCTGACTTTGTGACCGAGCTCTCGAAAGGGACGACCCCAATATCCGTGAAATATACCTCACCAGGCTGTATTCCAGAATTTTTTTGCGATGGCCTCAACTTTTATTGGTAGCATAGCATAACAAACAATCGATAAGGCGCTGGTAAAAGCGTACCTAAAATGTATTCTAAAACGTCCTAATTGCTCTACTAAATATCTTGGTTTCTCTATTCTGTTAATTGTACCGACCGTACACTGTCTGAACTTGCCTTCGCCGGAGTGAGCACCAGGTTATAAAGCCCGCTTGCATTATCAACCACAGCAATGACCAACCGCGCTTCGCTGGACTGGGAGTCCCTTCGGCGCCCCCGTGGTTCTCCTCGCTCGCGGATTAAAGATTGGATGTACTGAGAGTTCAATCCTCGGCTCGCTAATGAGCTCGGCGCTGGGCCCGCCTCCGTAAATACTGTGCGGGTTTGCTGCGGGTACGCGACCTCGCACCTGCTCACCTCAGTTGGAAGACCGCTATCGCGGCATGCTGCATGTCCAGCACTTTACTTATTTTTAGTACCCATTACTTTAATTCGATCACTTTAGAACGATTTTAGAAACATTAAATGAGACCACGCAAAACAAAATGAAACTTACGAACCTAAGTACGAATCGCGATTTAAGCACTCTAAAAGAAAGCGGGCGTACCCTTTATCTCTTGAGCCCTAATGAGCTACGGAATGCTTAAAACGAAAGAAGTTGTGGTTGCTCAAAAATATTATCTCCAATTATGGGCCCTCGAAATGACAATACATTTAGGAGTATAAGAATTCAAGTATTATTTAAAAGCCCTTGCTAAAAGCAATTGAATAAGGGTAGTTTCCATATATATATTTTTATGGATGTCCACGCCAAATGTCACAGTCCCGGTTCAGTTTAAAAAATAATTGGCCTCGATTATCTCGACAGTTCCAAAAGGTTCGTAAATATCATTTTGTTTTGCGTGGTCGCAGAAAAAACAAATTCGGGGCCCATCCATAGTAATTACTGAAAAAAAAACGGGGCCCATAGTAATTACTGGGATAGTTGCTCGGGCTGATTGATCAAAATCGTGGCCAATTGAAACTTGTTACTTTTACCAAGCATCCAGAGCACGTACCTCGTCGTTGGTCTCCCCAGTTCTGCTGGCTTGCTGTTTATTTTGGTGATGCGTCCTGTCTGTATTGGTACAATATCGACACAAAACTTTAATATTTGACATCCACAAGTCCTACGTAAAGCTGTTCTAGACAATAAAACCTAACGACCAAAGTTCGCCGGCCACTTCCTCCTTTGTAAGCCCTTCCAACGGCCTAGCTTGTATAGATAGGGTCAGTGATGTATGTACGCAGAACTCAAATAACTTAATGCAGAGCCCCCTGACGGTAACTGTGTGGACGTAGGTGCTCTTTAGCACGTCATGTCAGTAGCGAGCCGCGATAGTGACAATCGACCTGACGATGGACGCGGACTAGTAAGGTGCCACACAGACGAAGTTTTCGGGGATCAGTAGTGTAGTGTTCGTGATGGGAAGCGTGATGGGAAGCTGCGGGCACCGGAGGTGATCAAGGCACGTTGAAGCGGCCGCTGGCGTGCGAAAGAACGCGAGGAGAGCACACACGGGAGAGTAACGGACAGGGACGACGATCGCCAGGCGAGGAGACATTATCTGGTACGTATCCAGCAATGCCGATTCAATCCCACTCATAATGGCTTTTAGGCGCTTTAGTTTTTGGTGATGTTTATACTGTCGTACAGCATCATCGTCTTTGGGCTTCCGTCGATCACCAAACAGCCCCAGTGAACACCTTCAAAGTTGAAAGGCACCAATACAAACTGGCAAACTGCAATACCCATAAAAAGCTCCTAAAATTGTACCTTCTCAGGAAAAATCGCCTTCACATTAGCGGGCTTCTTTCTTGGCTGTTCTTTCAGTGGAGGCATTATTATGGTCGCATTGCTCTTGTAGCGCTGTAGAAAAACCACGAAGGCGCGAATGGCGTCGGCATTTAGCCAGAATCCAGAACAAGCGGTAAGGGGGTTGTTTTGCGAGGGTGTCTCTCTACAAAGTCCAAGCTGTAGCTATAGGCGGTAGTATAGGCGGTGGGGACTTAGGTAGGTGAGCAGTGGGTGAGCATTCTGGCGCACTGCCTTTCCGTTTTAATTTGGCCGAGAAGTGTTCAGATTAAAGGCTAAATATAATTACGCGTACGGTGCTGCGGCGAGGGCAGGCATTACCCAACAACACACGAGGTTTCGAGCGCTCTTCCGTGGAACGTTAGTAAAGATCACCGGTGTCGCAAAGCAAGCGGGGAAATCGTGTACGGCCAATAGAAGGTTGTGCATCAGTAGTTAAGTGTGGCGAGTTATGATGTGTCAGCGAGGCACAGGGTGGCTGAGAGCTTGTTTAGTGATCACGTGAGCGCGAGGGGACGGGACATTGACCGCTTGACTGTAGAGCACAAGACCTGGAGCGAGTGCGAGTTTACCTCCGCGCAGGAGGGTCCGAAGTCACCTGTGTGTTACATCTTCGGCAAGTAGTGAGGCACGAGAGCGGGCTCAAAAACCTGCACCAGTTTGCCAGCTGCCTAAAAATGCTATTTTCCTAAGCCGATTTCGGTTGAGGCTTACATCGGGTGGACTACCCCGGTGGTTCGTCACTGGCGACCTGTTGGCTCTAGATCCTGCTCTTGCAGTGATCCTCCCCTCTGAGTTGGATCTACCAGCGTAGTGGCAGTAAAGCCGACAACTGCATAAAATGGCAAAATAAAACGCACTCTTTGGCATGTAGAGCTTGCTTAAGTACTTGGTGTCATACTATAGAATGACAGTTGCTAAACTAGAATAAAGTGTTGTGCATTACTGAAAGTCT